GCACGCACAGAGAGACAAATACACAGGTGCACGCACAGAGAGACAAATACACAGATGCACGCGCGAAGAGACAAATGCGCGGGCGCATGCGCAGAGAGACAAATGCGCGGGCGCATGCGCAGAGAGACAAATGCGCGGGCGCATGCGCACACACGGATGCACACAAGAGGCGCGCAAGACAGGAAAAGGCACATGCAAGACACACACAAGCAAGCACAAGAGACAGAACAAGAAAAAAGCAACATCTGTCAGACACACCACACAGGAGGCGGACCAACGGGCGAAAGGCAGAAGCCAGCCACGCACATCCGAAAAGGCGGTCCCAATCTCCGACATGAGCACCGCATTGGAGTTGGGCTTGCCGTAGTTACGGAAGAGCATCGACCCGGCCGGGATGTCCCGCAGCGCACGGCACTCCAACGAGGCCACCGCCGCCAGGACATCCGCCAGGCGGCTGTAGCTGTCCGGGTCCCGGGAGGCGTCCGTAGCCAGCGTCAGCGTGCAGGCCACATTCTCCACGGCCTCCTCCAGGCCATCCTCCGGCTGGTGGTCCGGGTCGGCCAGCGCCTCGCCCGAGGCCGGAAGCTCCGCCCCGGCGAACGGGTTCGAGGGCTGGAAGAGCTCCGCCAGGGGGGCCATGAACTTCAGGAGCTGCGCGTCCTCCAGCGGCGAGCGCGACAGGTCAAACTCGAAGAGGTAGTTCCACTGGACCGACAGGGCCCAGCGGAAGGCATCCCGAGTGAAGAGCTCCGGCTCGATGACTGCAGCACGACAAGAGGCGATGAGGCCCGGTGAGCGAGAGGCAAAAGGCAGAGGAGGGGACCGGGGAGGCGCAGACGCAACCCCCGGGGGCGAGAGGGGCTGGGCCTGTCGGCGTGCACATGCGTGGCGGGAGAGGCAACAAAGATGAAGAGAGAGGGGGGGGGGGGAGGGGAACACACCAACCGGCCGGCCGCTGGCCTTGCGCGTCTCCAGGGCCTGGCGGATCTCGGCGAAGTTCTCCGAGATGTGCTTCTCCCGCGAAAAGAAGTAGTACCAGGCGTCGGTGCCGGTCAGATCGGCCGCCTCCTCAGCCTCGAAGTAGATCGGCGTCCGGAAGATCTCCGGCAGCGAGTGCAGGAAGTGATACCTGCGGCCGGACCGCATCGGGGCAAGCATGGGCATAGAAGGGGGCGGGGGGGGCGGGGCGCCCAAGAACATGCACTGCTGTCAGCAAACCAGCGCCGGCGGGAAGGGGCAGACCCCAGGGCGCGGGGTGCCCCGGCAGGCGAAGGAGAGGCAGCATGGCCAGACGCACCACTTGGAGGAGGGGTCGCTGCGCTGCTGGATGAGGAAGATGGCCACCTGGTCGGTCAGGGTCAGCCGGTGCTCCGGGGTCAGCTTGATGCCGGCCACGAGACTCGGCTCGAAGATGAGCAGCGCGTCGGCCGGCACGCGCAACAGCAGGGCATCCGCCTGGGGGGGGGGGTGGAGATCCGGAGGGAGGGACAGCGGCCAGGAGGCACGCGCGCGGAGTTATAGCAGGTCAGCAACCGGAGACTGATGCCCCCTCCGCCAGCGGGCGGAGGGAGGGAGGCAGACCCGACCGCGGGAGCCACGCACCGGGATGTCCCGACGAGAGGCCAGCGAAATGCCGCCAATGCCGCCCGGGCCGTGGACGTGCAGCGACACATCCGGCCCGAAGAAGGACCGGGCATCCTTGCCATCGTCGGAGACCGAGGCCGGCGACAGGGATCCCACCCGGACGCCGGACGCTTGCAGCCAGTCGAAGTAGCCCGACAGCCGGAGGAAGCGCCGCTCGACGTCCGCCGACGGCGAGGCCGAGAAGCCCATCTCCCGCCCGGTGGGGGCCGTGGAGTTGCCGGGCGCGGCGGAGTCCAGCGCCAGCCCGGGCGCGGCGCTCAGCAGGGTGGCCGCCAGCAAGGCCAGCAGGGCCAAGACCAGCGCGGGAATCCTCATCGTGGCGGGGGATATTCCAGGCGAGGGGAGAACGGGGCGTGGCACGAAAAAGAAGCGGAGAGGGGGGAGGGGAGGGGAAAGGTGTTGTCGGGGAGGGAAGCGAAGGGCCGTGTCCTGTGCAGGCCCGGCGGCCTCCCCGGAGGGGGGGATATCTTTTTTGCCGGGCGGCCTCCCCCCCCCCCGCAAACATCCGCGAAAGAGAAACAAACACGGCTGGGGGGGACCCGCCCGATTGTCGGCCGGGCATTGGTCGGAACACCGGATATCCCCCGCGTACTGGCCGACCGCCGGGCCCGTTGCGTGCGTGTGTGCGCGCGCGCACGCACCACACACGCGCATGCCCCCGCTGGCCGGCGATCGCCCCGGACCGGCGGCAAGGCAGCGCGCGGCGGCCCCAGCCGAGATCCACCCTCTCGGCGGGGGGTCGCCGGCCGTGATGCGCGCCATTGTTTGTCGGTGGGGGCGGGGCGCCCGAGCGGCGCGGGGCACCCCCCCCCCCCTTGGCCGCACAACGGGGCTGGCTGCACCGCGAAGTGCCCTTGGTGTCACGTGCCGTGTGTCACGCCCATGCGCGCGCTCCACGGAGGCTCGTCTCTCCTCGCCTGCCCGTCCCGGCGCCCGGGGCGCGGGGAAACTCGCGCCCACCCGAGTGCCGGGCATGCGCCTTCCTTTTGGCCGCGCCTCCCCGGGGCCGGGCGGGGCGATCGTCCGACGCACGGGAACGTGGGAACGCGGCCGCACGCACGGACGCCCGCCCGCGCGCGCGCGAGACCGCGCCCAGGCCAGGGGTGTTCCCCGGCGCAAACACCCAAAAGCGGCCCGGGACGCCCCCCGGCCCAGGTGTTAATCGGCCAGCGGTGTCTCCCCGGCGACTGCTCCTGCGGGGACGTGAGACCTCCCCCCCCCCAGGCTGGCCGCCAGCTCCCTCCAGCCGAGCGGCGCGCCGGCCCCCCTCCCCCGCGAGCCCGCTCCGGGCGGCGGACGTTGGCAGTCCGAGGCCCGGCTCCGGGAACAGCCCCCGATCGCGCCTTCCCGCTTCGGTACGAAGGTCCCCCCCTGCCCCCCATCGCCTGGCCGGGCCGAGGGTCGTGCCAGGACCCCCCCCCCCCCCCCGGCGGGGGCTGTCGCGCCGAGTTCGAGGGGGAACAGGAAGGACGGGTGGAATGCCCGATCGCGGCCGCCCCCGGCCG